GCACATGCTGCACTGTCACGATTCGACTCCCGCTGGGGTGTTGATAAGACCTATGCGAGGTCGAAATTGCCGTCCACCCTTGATGAGAACAACTTTTGGGAAAGCTATGAAATGTTAAATTCAATGGAAACGACAGCTCTACCAATATCCTTATGGGAAAATTCTACTAGCATTCCTTCATCACCTTAAACGAAATAGGATGAATACATCAAATGAATATTCGCCCTATTAATCCCCATGTAAATCATAACAAGTGTCTTGTAATAAATGTAATTGCAACAAGAAACCCCACTCTAAAAGGCAAGATCTATTTAGCATATCGACCTCAATAGCATCACAATTTGGTGTTAAATTATTTCATAAGATATATTTAAAATATTATATCGTGGTTCACACAGAGAATTTCATTATCATATGCATAGAATTGGGAAAAATAATAATATAAAAATAAAAGAGCGATGGATAAATATTTCATCCGGCTGACATAGAGGGCTTAAAACCAGAGTTCAAGAGAGCACGGGAAATCTTTATGTTAAATCCCATACAAACATAAAAAAATCAACAAGCAAGGCATAAACGAAATTTATAAAGCGAAAAGATAATACTTCTAGCTACAAAATACATCATTCATAGCTATGGAATTAATTGATGCAATATGCATAGCCTTAACGAAGTGTTCCAAATTTAACTAACTAATGATAGAGAATAGTGAATATAAGAGGGAGTAATTATTTTCTTGAATATAATTTCCTTACCATAATCGATAATCAAGGAACAATTTGTGACATTTTCAGGACTAAGGAGTGGCTATTTATGTTGAGATAACGATTATTTAATAGCCAAGGATGTTTGCCCAGTTTAACCAGTATGAGAGATAACTTAGCATAGTTAAAAGATCGTGGGTGAGCGGAAAGTATATGCTTAAGTGTGCTTTTGCATAACCCTTGCATAATTGATTACTAAGAATACATAGAATGCACGAGAAAAATGTAAAAGATGAGGGCTGCGCTAAGCATGGGATCACAAAAAGCCCACAAATATGCCAGCATGGTACAATTTAAAATTGTTCTTTCACGCAAAGTAACTACCCTCCGATAGTCAAAACAAAATGGTCAAGTTCTATTAACATGACTTCAACGTAAAAAGAATTTTGTTAATCTATATATTATGTAATGCATCATCAGTTTTTAATTATAGCAATAATTGGATGAAATATCTATTTAAAAATAAAAATGACATCCTTTTCGTCCCCATGGGACTTAAAGCATAATAATCATAAATAAGTGATGCAATTATAATTTATTAGCAAATTATGAAGAAATTATTTCATAAAGTTTTAAAGAGTAAAATATTTGGATTTTTAAGTTATTTAATCAAGACGAAAATACACACTCTTTCAATTCGTTTAAAATGTATAAGTAAATTCTGAAATAAAGTCTAAAAATTTTTTGAGATAGTAAACTTGGTACAATATGTCTAAGTGGTGGAATCAAAATTTAGATTTCACATAACTAAAGAACTCAAGGTCAATATAAATGAGCAAATGCGTTAAATCAAACTTGGTCCCATTATATGACATCAATTTCCGATTTCCATTTCCCATCTTTAAGAACTTTATTCACGAATGATTAGTTTTGGTGATTTAATTTTACCATTTTGGCGAAAAGAGTATGCCTGGTTTTATAGGTGCGTCTATCAACAATGGGAACTTATGTGAATTTATTTTTAGTATAGTAACAAAGAAAATAAATGGATATTTCAATTAAATTTCATACATGGAGGGGACAGAGCAGGCGTCGTAAATCGAATTTAGCAAAGATCTCCTTTTTACAAATCTAACAAATGTAGTAGCAAATACAACTGAAAGATGTGATGTTAAGATGTAAATTAGAGGGCGATAAATACCAAATGGTCCTATGCCTAATACATTGAGTGAAACAGATAGTTCAATAAACGTGCTGAGTAAATATATATGCCTAAAGTTGGCAATACACAAGTTATGGTAACCTGGTGAAGACCACCACCATGGGCAGTGTTGACAGCGGCCACTATGTTGCCAGGCATAGCTAGTGGGGCACCCATCCTAGGGCCTCCGGGCAGACCCCAGGCTGCGGCCCCATTACAGAGTCGGTTAGCAGAGTGATCTACGAGGATAGGACATGTGAGCTGCTGCTCGAGATTGACGACGCAGGCTAATGAGGAAACAGCATAGCGAAGGCGAGTGGGAATCCCGTCAGCAAACCGACTGTAATGCTCTACCAGGTGCTCCAGCGAAAGATGCAAAGGGCCCTAATAGAACCCAGAGGATAAAATGATAAAAAAAGATTTGATATAGTGATTTGTATTTTATAAGTTAAATAACGTTATGGAATGAATGCAAACATAGATCGTATGAGAGGTTTAAAAGCCATTGTATTGTATGCTTCACTAATTTCATGTTGGTTCCAGGAAAAAGGTTAATCGACAAAAACGAATTTTGGGAGCAACGCAATATTCATATGAAGTAGTTGGATTAAGAAGAGATTATAAAAAGTCGTCAGTACCCATACTTTAAACTTTAAACCCATATACCCATTCTTTTTTAGAGATAATGATGTCTGAGAAGCCTATCAGATCGGCTACTTATTAGATTCCAGCATTTATGCTCCTCTAAGGTATAATAATATCTTATGTTTCTAGGACTAAATTGGCTAGAGACCAAAGAGTGTTGAAACCGGAATTAGTTTTTTAGTAAAGGTATATGTGGCTAGGCTGAACTACTCACCCAAAAAATCTGGGCTTGATCAGAACCAGCTGAAGTTCTGAATTCCACTCGTCCTTCTAAGAAGAATAAATACATGGGGCATGCCAGTTCGGTATTACACAAGGCATCAGATTACCACATTACCCCAGCAGTGTTAAAGGCACGATTTTCAATACGTCATTACTCACGTCTTTGGTAGGGATATAGTAAAAGATGAAAGTTGTTGGTCAGTAAATGATACTAATTTCCAGTCAAAAATACCAGCTGATCTTGTCTTAGAGCCAATATGACATATGAAATGTTAAAGAAACTTAAGAGAGATAGAGAACACTCTTGGTCTTTGGAATTAATGAAATTATGGCATAAAGGTCGCAGGAAATTTGAGTGGAAAAACAAGTCGTCTTAAAGCAGGGTTCAAGCTTAATCTTTGAATCACCAATTGGCAAAGGTTGAATCTTTAACCCAAAAATATATGTTGATTAGTAAAACTATAGTATAGCTAGACTTGATACTCTCCTTAATCCAACTAATAACTTGTTCCTTCAAAAGTAAGAAGGATGAATTAGAAGTGATGATCAGGAAAAAACTGAACAGGCAAATACAATAAAGTCAAAA